CTAGACATAGAGTTTGTTGGATCAGATTTTCAAGAATTATCACAGTAAATTATTGTGATGGTAAATGTTCAGGTCCAAATAAATTGCTGTGTGAATAACATACAAACAGTGTATTAAGCACGATCATTTTCGTTTTGCATTTAGATGTTGTGAATCCTTTGCTGTGACTGTTTCCCATTCTAACACAATAACCCTGGTTTACCCTGCCTAATCTTCTAACATGATTACCTTGCTTTTCCATCTCAGTAAACCATTTCCTCTTCATCAGTTTAATTTCAACCACAAAGTGAAAGGTGGGTATATGATAACCCTACTCAGTAAAAGGAGAGTATATAATAACCCTATTCAATAAAAGGAGGGTATATGATAATCCTACTCAATAATAGGTTATATGATAACCCTACTCAGTAAAAGGAGAGTATATAATAACCCTATTCAATAAAAGGAGGGTATATGATAACCCTACTCAGCAAAAGGTTATATGATAACTCTACTCAGTAAAAGGAGGGTATATGATAACCCTATTCAGTAAAAGGTTATATGATAACCCTACTCAATAAAAGGTTATATGATAACCCTATTCAGTAAAAGGAGGGTATATGATAATCCTACTCAATAATAGGTTATATGATAACCCTACTCAGTAAAAGGTTATATGATAACCCTACTCAGTAAAAGGAGGGTATATGATAACCCTACTCAGTAAAAGGAGGGTATATGATAACCCTACTCAGTAAAAGGAGGGTATATGATAACCCTACTCAGTAAAAGGAGGGTATATGATAATCCTACTCAGTAAAAGGTTATATGATAACCCTACTCAGTAAAAGGAGGGTATATGATAACCCTACTCAGTAAAAGGAGGGTATATGATAATCCTACTCAGTAAAAGGTTATATGATAACCCTACTCAGTAAAAGGAGGGTATATGATAACCCTACTCAGTAAAAGGAGGGTATATGATAACCCTACTCAGTAAAAGGGGTATACCATGGTTAGATAATGTAAAACCTTAGGAAAATGTAGAGTTGTTGATAACAGTTTTGAAGTTAAAAACTGATCTATGATGAGACTTGTTTATCTGTGTAATGATTTTTGCTTACAGCTGATCGACATCTGTCTCCATGTATGTTAAAACCACACCCTAAGAATGTTACTTACCATGACTTGGTCTGTTATATACCAGAATATGTCAGATACACCCTTAACCTGTATGATGAAATATCTATCAATATTGCATGTACTTTTAATTTTTTGTTGCAGCAATAACATTACACTGCTTACTAAGACTACACAAAAATTCCCGTCTTACTTTTATATAAGCCTTGAAATGGTTAAATTGTAGCCCCTTCCCTACCTTCCCCTCCATTCCTAAAATGATGATGTTTTAGATAAATAGTTATTATTCCCTTGAAATACTTTGGTGTTATTGTTAATCAGTCTTTGATATGATAAAAAAATTGATAGAATAGATTATACAGACTGTCAAGATGCCAAGTATATAAGCATTCATTTGTGTGAAGATTTCTCCTTCTCCTTGTAGGGATTTTTTTTCTTTTTTTTTTTTTTAACCAAAGTGTTAATAAAAAATTGCTTCTGTAGCAAAAGAGAGTTTTTGTTGCAATATTACTTTGATTTGTGCCTGTGTATCACTTCATTTATATTTCTGTTTGTCTCCCTTGTGCATGTAGGTTTTAAGGACGTTAGTTCTACAGAAGGTATCTTAAGCTTTTTCTGATTATTACCACCTTTCAGATCTCAAGCGAGAAGACTTTGCTTTATTTAAATAATTTGCAAAATAGCTTCTTGTGTGCACTGATGATGCTACATAAGTCACATCACCTTCTATCACATACTCACCCCCAGGCTCATGACGTCAGTCAACAGTCATATATTTTTCCTTTTTACACTTTATGTTGTAAAGCTTTTTTTTTATTGTAATGGTGAAGTGACCCGTGGAACCTCATCAGTAAGTAATAAATATCATTTCACTGCTGACACCTACTTCAGGCTTATGTCGATGTATTCAACACAAACATGAAAATATTTTACCCAGTATATGTTAGCCTTAAAGAATTAGTTATGATAAGTGTCATAAAGTTCATGTTCTGGCCCAAAGTGGTAACAACATACCCAATGTTGAGGTAGTTCATGTTCTGGCCCAAAGTGGTAACAACATACACAATGTTGAGGTAGTTCATGTTTTGGCCCAAAGTGGTAACAACATACCCAATGTTGAGGTAGTTCATGTTCTGGCCCAAAGTGGTAACAACATACCCAATATTGAGGTAGTTCATGTTCTGGCCCAAAGTGGTAACAACATACCCAATGTTTAGGTAGTTCATGTTTTGGCCCAAAGTGGTAACAACATACCCAATGTTGAGGTAGTTTATGTTTTGGCCCAAAGTGGTAACAACATACCCAATGTTGAGGTAGTTCATGTTCTGGCCCAAAGTGGTAACAACATACCCAATGTTGAGGTAGTTTATGTTTTGGCCCAAAGTGGTAACAACATACCAAATGTTGAGGTAGTTCATGTTCTGGCCCAAAGTGGTAACAACATACCCAATGTTGAGGTAGTTCATGTTCTGGCCCAAAGTGGTAACAACATACCCAATGTTGAGGTAGTTCATGTTCTGGCCCAAAGTGGTAACAACATACCCAATGTTGAGGTAGTTTATGTTTTGGCCCAAAGTGGTAACAACATACCCAATGTTGAGGTAGTTTATGTTTTGGCCCAAAGTGGTAACAACATACCCAATGTTGAGGTAGTTTATGTTTTGGCCCAAAGTGGTAACAACATACCCAATGTTGAGGTAGTTTATGTTTTGGCCCAAAGTGGTAACAACATACCCAATGTTGAGGTAGTTTATGTTTTGGCCCAAAGTGGTAACAACATACCCAATGTTGAGGTAGTTTATGTTTTGGCCCAAAGTGGTAACAACATACCCAATGTTGAGGTAGTTTATGTTTTGGCCCAAAGTGGTAACAACATACCCAATGTTGAGGTAGTTCATGTTCTGGCCCAAAGTAGTAACAACATACCCAATGTTGAGGTAGTTCATGTTCTAGCCCAAAGTAGTAACAACATACCCAATGTTTAGGTAGTTCACGTTCTGTGATTTATTACGTGTAATATGGAAATGCATGTCTCCATTAACTCTCTTGTATTTATTCAAGTTTAATACTTTGAATTCTCTATATTTAATCAATTTTTGTGAATTATGTGTATACCTTCTCAAACTTACAAGCTTAATCATATTTTACATTTACAGCATAAAAAGTAATAACAAATTTACTTTTAAAAATGTCTTACTGCAGTTAAAATGAAAATTTATTCATCAATACACTAAGCTGATTCTTGTGAAAAGAAAATGGCTGTTTATATTGACCAATGGGACGGCTGGAATGCTAATTAGCCTCTAACACTATGGGGGATGCTCTTAGTGACATATTCCTGGTCTGTTTACAAGCTTTTTTCAGTAAATACAATAATTTGATCAATTTGATATTTCCATGATATATCAGAGTATCTTGGTTAGCTGTGAAAGATGTGTCAAACTGTACATATATGAGCAACATTTCTATATGTGCCCAGCTGTGATATATATGCCCAGCTGTGATATATGTGCCCAGCTGTGATATATGTGCCCAGCTGTGATATATATGCCCAGCTGTGATATATGTGCCCAGCTGTGATATATGTGCCCAGCTGTAACATATACATATATATGCTCAGATGTAATATATAGACCTGCTTGCAACATATGTGCCCAGCTGTAACATATATGCCCAGATTAAACATATATGCCCAGCTGTGATATGCGTACCATGTTCACATTTAGTCCATTTTTCTCCTGCTTAGTGAGGCTTTACATCAGAATTACATGAAATGTTGCCTTTTAGTTTTGTTTTTAGTTGTGTAGTCATCCATCGTCTGTAGAAATTGGTTTTACATTTCAAAGTATAATTGATCAATTTGTATATAATTGATGTAGCCTGGTCTTTACCTATGGCTGTTGTTTAGAGTCACTCTGATTTTGAAATGTTTGATGTAAGCTGTGGTTTAAACAGATATTGTTTGTAACAATAGAAAGGATTGGTATAGAAGATCTCGTTATCTAATTCCTTCATGCTATAAATGTTTGGTTGGATTTTTAGTATTTTTATATTGTACTGAGTTACCTGTAAAGATGTTTGGCAAGTTCTGTATATGTTTAATATGATTAGCTTATTCTTTTGACACAATGTTGTATGAATTAGCAGATTTTAATGAAACTTGGGGTCCTGCGTTTGGTTAGTTCTATGAATATCTAATGAAGCACTGAAATGTGATTGGCCAATTGCATTTGGCAATGTTATGTCTTCTGAAGTAATAATATAATATTTTTTGTAGAATTTGAATAAGTTTAATAAATTTTCATTTCTATCTTTTTTTAACAGGCATACATAGTAATGCCAAAGTTTTTTTATCGTTTATTTCGTTTTAGTTGGGTTTTAGATATCTATGTAGGAAAGTTTTATCAAAGTACTCTACTTTTTGTAATATGTTAAATCTAGCTTTGTAACACTATTCTAAATGTCTTGTTGCTATTTTGATTAAACTGAAGCTTTTGCTGAAGAAAAGAGCTTTCTCTGTTTGTAAGACTTGCATGTTTTTGAGATAACTTCTCTCTCTCCTTTTGTAGTTGGCTAGGGACATGATTTTTCTCGGAACATATTGATTTCTTGAGAGTTTTATTTTATCAGAGAACTTATCAATACATACAAAGATACAGATCTAAAGGAGTCTTACTTATATGATAACTCCTGAAATAAACAAATGATTCCTTAAAAAATTGTGAAATGTTTTTATTAAGTTGAGACTTGTAAATTTGAAAGTTGTTTTGTTTTAATTTTGTTTCATAGCTAATATTTTAGAAGTTGCTTACTTATATCTGAATACTAAATACACTGTATTTTATGGAGGTGTTATTTTAACGTGTATCTGACCTTCACAGATCACCGTGGATATGTCGGACCCACTCAGAGGGTGGACAGCACTACAGAGTTCCACCCAATGGGCCCAGAAAGGGAAGTGGAGTACTTCTTTGCTTCTGATGCTAGGTAACACACTTTTAATTTTTTTTTCAGAGATCAATCTCAACCATAATTTGAAATTTTCTACTGTCCTAATCATGATGATAGTTACAAGTTTTGTGTACTTTTGTCACTAGTGTACCATACAGAAGCTTCCCACCCACAACCCACCCTCATACCTCTAACTATCATTCTGTTGCAAACTGTTAACCATTGTTCTCTAATTTCTAAATCATATGAAATAGATTTATCAATCTCTATGTACTATCAACAGTTGGTTTTATTAGATATTAAAAATTAAAAAGTTACCAAACCAGTGATTGATAGAAATTTCCTTTCACAATTTAAGACTGTAGAACTATTTGGATGTTATTTTCTCACAGCCTGTAAGTAAATATTTAATTATATCAAGTTTACAAAAATTAAGGAAGGAGAGCAGTAAAGAGTATTTAAAAACTATGTCATAATTTGAGATAGTGTAAACAGTTTTAAATTGAAGTCGTACATTTTAAATTGTCATGCATCAGGTTTATATTGCTGTATTAGCCATATCGCCTATCTGGTTAAACTACTAGACACTTGTTCAACATTAGTTACAATTACATTGCCAACTTTGACTGTTTATTAATTCAGTAAACAGATAAAAAGTACAGGTTTTCACCGCAGTTTCTCCACACTTTATTTTCTATCTCCTGTGTAAGTACTGACTTGGTTTTATGTATTCTATTCAGTCATGTTCGATTATCATCTGGTGATAGGGTAATGAATATTGACTAGTTTTAGTCTAATAATCACTTCTTAGTTACAGTGTAATAATTACTTCTTAGTTACAGTGTAATAATTACTTCTTAGTTACAGTGTAATAATCACTTCTTAGTTACAGTGTAATAATTACTTCCTAGTTACAGTGTAATAATTACTTCCTAGTTACAGTGTAATAATTACTTTTTAGTTACAGTGTAATAATTACTTTTTAGTTACAGTGTCATAATCACTTCCTAGTTACAGTGTAATAATTACTTCTTAGTTACAGTGTAATAATTACTTCTTAGTTACAGTGTAATAATTACTTCTTAGTTACAGTGTAATAATTACTTCTTAGTTACAGTGTAATAATTACTTCTTAGTTACAGTGTAATAATTACTTTTTAGTTACAGTGTAATAATTACTTCCTAGTTACAGTGTAATAATTACTTCTTAGTTACAGTGTAATAATTACTTCCTAGTTACAGTGTAATAATTACTTCTTAGTTACAGTGTAATAATTACTTTTTAGTTACAGTTTAATAATTACTTTTTAGTTACAGTGTAATAATTACTTCCTAGTTACAGTGTAATAATTACTTCTTAGTTACAGTGTAATAATTACTTTTTAGTTACAGTGTAATAATTACTTTTTAGTTACAGTGTAATAATTACTTTTTAGTTACAGTGTAATAATTACTTTTTAGTTACAGTGTAATAATTACTTCCTAGTTACAGTGTAATAATCACTTCTTAGTTACAGTGTAATAATTACTTTTTAGTTACAGTGTAATAATTACTTTTTAGTTACAGTGTCATAATCACTTCCTAGTTACAGTGTTATAATTACTTCCTAGTTACAGTGTAATAATTACTTCCTAGTTACAGTGTAATAATTACTAACTAGATTCAGTGTAAGTGTTAATTGTTAAGTTTGGTGTAAATTATTATTCTAGAAAGTGTCTGATTTCAGTGTAAATGATTACTGCCTAATTTCAGTGTAGAATATAACTCTAGTAAGAGTGTAAATGATTATCGGCTCATTTCAGTGTGAAGGATCTTGCCTAGTTTAAGTATGAATTATAAATGTCTGTTTTTGTTAAAGTGTGTGTGGGGAGAGGGGTATATAGGTATATATTAATCACTTTGGCTATGCTATGTGTACATATCACATTTTAAATGTTTAGAATACAAGATTGTACATGTATCACATGAATACATATCTATTTCATATTCACACCATAGCGTCACCAAACCAAGATCTACATGTGATTAAATTTCAATGGGCATCAGTTGAGGCTAAAGGTTAAAATATCACCTTTGACGTTGACTTTTGAAATAAAAAACTTGTGTGGAAGATATTTCCTGAACTCCTAAATGGCTTAACTCCTTAACAGATATAGATCAGATAGAAAATACTATAGGATGGGATATATTTTTGTGAGCCCCTACTAGGATGGGGGTATATATAAGCTCCTTCTAACTTTGTTTTTATTAATGGTTTCAGTGCCATCATTGAACATACCAACCAGGTGATATTTCTGGAGGATGATGATGTAGCTTCTGTAAAAGATGGCTCCCTCTCCATTCACCGTGTCAAACGTAGCATCGATGAGTCGACTGTCCGAGAGGTGATCACACTTAAAACTGAGATTCAAGAGATTATGAAAGGTAAATTACTACATCCACAATACTCCAGAGGTTACGATCACAACATTCACAATACTCCAGGGGTTATGATCACAACATCCACAATACTCCAGGGGTTACGATCACTACATCCACAATACTCCAGGGGTTACGATCACTACATCCACAATACTCCAGGGGTTACGATCACTACATCTACAATACTCCAGGGGTTACGATCACTACATCTACAATACTCAAGGGGTTATGATCACTACATCCACACTACTCCAGGGGTTACAATTACTACATCTACAATACTCCAGGGGTTACGATCACTACATCTACAATACTCCAGGGGTTACGATCACTACATCCACAATACTCCAGGGGTTACGATCACTACATCCACACTACTCCAGGGGTTACAATTACTACAACTACAATACTCCAGGGGTTACGATCACTACATCTGCAATACTCCAGGGGTTACGATCACTACATCTACAATACTCCAGGGGTTACGATCACTACATCCACAATACTCCAGGGGTTACGATCACTACATCTACAATACTCCAGGGGTTATGATCACTACATCCACAATACTCCAGGGGTTACGATCACTACATCTACAATACTCCAGGGGTTACGATCACTACATCTACAATACTCCAGGGGTTATGATCACTACATCCACACTACTCCAGGGGTTACAATTACTACATCTACAATACTCCAGGGGTTATGATCACTACATCCACAATACTCCAGGGGTTACGATCACTACATCTACAATACTCCAGGGGTTACGATCACTACATCCACAATACTCCAGGGGTTACGATCACTACATCTACAATACTCCAGGGGTTATGATCACTACATCCACAATACTCCAGGGGTTACGATCACTACATCCACAATACTCCAGGGGTTACGATCACTACATCCACAATACTCCAGGGGTTACGATCACTACATCTACAATACTCCAGGGGTTACGATCACTACATCCACAATACTCCAGGGGTTACGATCACTACATCTACACTACTCCAGGGGTTACGATCACTACATCTACAATACTCCAGGGGTTATGATCACTACATCCACAATACTCCAGGGGTTACGATCACTACATCTACAATACTCCAGGGGTTACGATCACTACATCTACAATACTCCAGGGGTTATGATCACTACATCCACAATACTCCAGGGGTTACGATCACTACATCTACACTACTCCAGGGGTTACAATCACTACATCTACAATACTCCAGGGGTTATGATCACTACATCCACAATACTCCAGGGGTTACGATCACTACATCTACAATACTCCAGGGGTTACGATCACTACATCTACAATACTCCAGGGGTTACGATCACTACATCTACAATACTCCAGGGGTTATGATCACTACATCCACAATACTCCAGGGGTTACGATCACTACATCTACAATACTCCAGGGGTTACGATCACTACATCCACACTACTCCAGGGGTTACGATCACTACATCTACAATACTCCAGGGGTTACGATCACTACATCTACAATACTCCAGGGGTTACGATCACTACATCTACAATACTCCAGGGGTTATGATCATTACATCTACAATACTCCAGGGGTTACGATCACTACATCCAGGGAAATATTGGCTTCATCAGTTTTAATTTTATTTGAATGTTTTTTCAACCCCTACAGGTAAGTTCTCATCATTCATGCAGAAAGAGATTTTCGAGCAACCTGAGTCCGTCATCAATACAATGAGGGGACGTGTCAACTTTGAGACAAATCAGGTTGTACTTGGAGGCATAAAAGATTTCATGCCTGAAATCAGAAGATGTCGCAGAATGCTGTTCATTGCTTGTGGGACCAGCTATCACAGTGCTGTAGCTGTAAGTATGATTGTCCTAGATTACTGCAAGTATTCTTAAAATAAGTCACAATTTATAACTGCGAGACAGTTTATAATTGTTTTGTGGGGTTGTCGGTAAAAATAGGTTTTACCTAATTTTCTCTCATTCTGCACACTTCATCATTTTGTGCCTCTGAGTCCCATTGTCCACTCTTAATGATTATCATCTTTGGATAGTTGTACCTCTGTTTTCTTCCTCCAACAGGCAACAGGTGTTACTATGCTCCCTTTACAAAATTGTCCCACCTTGTTCCTCCTCCCCCACCCTCCTCCCCCACTCCTCTACAAAATTGTCCCACCTTGTTCCTCCTCCCCCACACTCCTCCCCCACTCCTCTACAAAATTGTCCCACCTTGTTCCTCCTCCCCCCACCCTCCTTTCCCCACCCTCCTTCCCCACTCCTCTACAAAATTGTCCCGCCTTCTTCCTCCTCCCCCACCCTCCTCCCCCACTCCTCTACAAAATTGTCCCACCTTGTTCCTCCTCCCCCACACTCCTCCCCCACTCCTCTACAAAATTGTCCCACCTTGTTCTTCCTCCCCTATCCTCCTCCCCCACTCCTCTACAAAATTGTCCCACCTTGTTCCTCCTCCCCCCACCTTCCTTTCCCCACCCTCCTCCCCCACTCCTCTACAAAATTGTCCCACCTTGTTCCTCCTCCCCCACCCTCCTCCCCCACTCCTCTACAAAATTGTCCCACCTTGTTCCTCCTCCCCCACCCTCCTCCCCCACTCCTCCACAAAATTGTCCCACCTTGTTCCTCCTTTCCCCACCCTCCTCTACAAAAATGTCTCACAATGCTCCCCCTACAAAAATGTCCCTCTATGTTTTACCTTCAAAAATGTTTCGCAATATTTCCCCCTATTAAAATGCCATGCATTGTTTTCATCTTCCATCATCTTTTACAAAAACAATAGTTCTGATGATATTGTCATGCAGAATAGAATCAATGTTTTGTTTCTGTAAAGTCAGTTCTTGTTTTCTTTATACAGACAAGACAACTACTTGAGGAATTGACCGAGTTACCTGTGATGGTGGAGCTGGCCAGTGACTTCCTTGATAGAGATACACCTGTCTTCAGGGATGATGTCTGCTGTTTCATCAGTCAGTCAGGTAAAGCTAATAGAACAAAGTTCTCTCCCTTCACCAATCAGTCAGGTAATCGCCATTAGGACAGAAGTTGACCCCTTCATTAGTCAGTCAGGTAAAGCTAGTAGAATATAATTCTCTCCCTTCACCAATCAGTCAGGTAAACACGCTTAGGACAGGAATTTATCCCCCCATCAGTCATCCTGGTAAACACCATATGGACAGAAGTTGACCCCTTCATCATTCAGTTAGGTAAAGCTATTAGGACAAAATTCTCTCCCTTAATAAGTCAGTCAGGTAAACAGCATCTGCACAGAAATCTGTCCCTTCACAGTGAGGCAGGTATACACCATGAGGACAGAAGTCTGTCCCTTCACAGTGAGGCAGGTATACACCACTAGGACAGAAGTCTGTCCCTTCACAGTGAGGCAGGTATACACCACTAGGACAGAAGTCTGTCCCTTCACAGTGAGGCAGGTATACACCACTAGGACAGAAGTCTGTCCCTTCACAGTGATGTGAACAAGGTATGACATTGCCATATTGAGGTTCAGACATTCAAATGTGTGCTTTTTTTTTTGTTACAGGAGAGACGGCTGACACATTACTTGCTCTGCGTTACTGTAAACAAAGAGGTGCTCTGATTGTGGGAGTTACCAACACCGTGGGCAGTAGTATCTGCCGCGAGTCACATTGTGGTATCCATATCAATGCTGGACCAGAAATTGGGGTTGCCAGTACCAAGGTTAGCATCCTTAGTACATCATGAAAACATATGGTTATATATCGGTGTATTAACCACTTCGGCATGTAGCGAGAGCTAGATTTGAATAATTATATCCCTTGTCATATATCTAATTAAACAACCAAATTACCTCCCTTTTCAGGTGTCACCACATCAAAATAGATTCATCTGTGAGTTCGCTGTCTTCATACCACAAATTTATTATTGCTAGATTTTATCAGTTGCCATTGTCCTGGCAATGAAAATTGGACACATGTATTAATGTCATTTATTGTCACCTCGCAGTTATCTCCCTTTTCTTTTACATAGCCAGTTATCTACCTTGTTAAATGACATATATTGAAATAGGGCAGTTATCTCCCTTCTATGTTAATTCAACAGTTCTCCGCATTGTGATATGACATGCCTATCATGTTACAGGCCTACACCAGTCAGTTTATTTCTCTGGTTATGTTTGGTTTGGTCATGTGTGAGGACAGAATCTCGATGCAGGAACGACGCAAGGAAATCATTCAGGGTCTACATGACCTGCCAGGTATGTATGACTATTTTATGATGTGTTTCACAATATATTCTGATAAATTCTGTTTTCACACAAAACATTGTGATTTAGACATGTCATCCTACAACAAAACTCTGAGTTCTGCTATTTTTGTATAAAAATTAATTTATTGTACTTTCTAGATCTTATTAAGGAGGTGCTGGAGATGGATGATCAGATCCACACCCTATCCCAGGAATTGTACCAACAAAAGAGTTTGCTGGTGATGGGACGTGGCTATAACTTCGCTACCTGCCTGGAGGGAGCACTGGTTAGTACCTGATAAATTTTGTAGCTCTCAGTCTTACTATTGATGGAAGAAAAAGAAATTAAATATACTTATATGACCTGTCCATGTTACTTGTTACCTGTCCATGTTACTTGTTACCTGTCCAAGTTACTTGTTACCTGTCCATGTTACTTGTTACCTGTCCATGTTACTTGTTACCTGTCCAAGTTACTTGTTACCTGTCCATGTTACTTGTTACCTGTCCATGTTACTTGTTACCTGTCCAAGTTACTTGTTACCTGTCCATGTTACTTGTTACCTGTCCAAGTTACTTGTTACCTGTCCATGTTACTTGTTAACTGTCCAAGTTACTTGTTACCTGTCCATGTTACTTTTTACCTGTCCAAGTTACTTTTTACCAGGCCAATTACTTTTTACCTGTCCAAGTTACTTGTTACCTGTCCAAATTACTTGTTACCTGTCCAAGTTACTTGTTACCTGTCCAATTTACTTGTTACCTGGCCAAGTTACTTGTTACCTGTCCAAGTTACTTGTTTCCGAAAAAACACATAAAAAGTATTACCAGACTTATACTGCCCACAAATCTGTTGAGATCCATTTGGTGAAGTCTGACAATGGGGTAGATAACTCAAGGAGTTAATATTCTGTATTTAGTTTTGTTATATATGCCATCAGTGAATACCTTCTAAAGCTATACTCTATGTATCTCTCATTAGTCCCTGCAATCTGTGACTCAGTTCTTCAGTGTCCCTCTCAAAACTTTATGTCATTGTCATCATTATTTGTATCTTAATATGAGTATTTGTGTAGGGGTATCTTAGTATGAGTCTGAGTATTTGTTTGTTTTTTTTCTAATATGTTTCTGTTTTTTTTAGAAAATAAAAGAATTGACCTATATGCACTCGGAGGGAATTATGGCAGGAGAGTTGAAGCATGGTCCGCTGGCTTTGGTGGACAAAGCCATGCCAGTTATGATGGTCATCACCCGTGACAAAGTCTACTCAGTACGTACAGAACATTTCTTTGCAAAACTCAATCTTTTTCTTTCCTAAATCTGTTGGGGAAAAAAGGACAAATGGAAAATGACTGAAGATTCCTGAAAAGGTTGACATTTTATACTTGACCAGTAAAATGAGTATGGATGAAGGATTCGTGCCCTGTGTGGGCCTCAAACTTAGGATTGAGACCCTGACTGTGCACAAGTCAAAAATTGTCTTTCCTTATCAATCACATTACAATGTGCAAGCCATCAATAAATTAACACCATGTATCCTATACAGTAATGTTGTTGATCTGAAGGTTCCTGTCATATTTGTACCCTATTTCTATACACATATATGTTAGAAATTTTAAATTCTCAGAGTGTCTTTGCTAATAATTAGTGTTTTCTAATTCATCATTTATATATACATATCTTCATGTGTTGCTCTGAAGTTGATAGATTTTGAGTAAGATTTTTCATTTTTCAGAAATGTATGAATGCCCTTCAACAAGTAAAGGCCAGACATGTAAGTTAATCAACATTTCTCTTCATTAAAGAACATCCATAATTAAATATTGAAAAAAACTTTTAATTAATCAATATACAATAATTGATAGTGAAACAGAAAATAAAATATTCATCATGATATTATTGGAATATTTTTCTGTTGATATTTGCATCACATGTTATATTGCCTGTATTCCTTGTAATATTAAGTTTCTGTGATGTTTGGCTGTAGAAATCATATCACTTACAGCTGTTGTATACTTGAACAATTTTATGTTTTAAACCTATTACTATGAGTCTTTCTGTTAAACCAGGCCATAAATTTCCATTAAGATCAACTTGTTTCCCTAAAACTTTGTCGAATTTAGACTGACTGCGATAAAATATTTATGAATTTTTTTTGCAAACCGCAATATTATTTGATGTTGCCATTAAAGGGAGTATATTCAAGCCTTATGGACATTTTCTAGAAAATCTTTTTTCAGTATATTAAAAAATATTTCACTTATAAATATGAAAAAACCAAGAAAGGGAAATGGCCTTTCATTGTTCCTGAAGGATTGAAAATTGATCACGAAGAACAAGCCATTAGAAATATGATGTCTACAGCTGAACCAAACCAATCATATCAAAAACATACATGGATTGATACATGCATGTTTGTACATTTCTATGAATAAATGCTTGTTGATGTACTTTATTTTGAATATGTATATGCATGTAGATGTTGTAAATTTAAAACAAAATGTACTCATTCCAAATCTAGCCTGATATGAAGCAATAGCCTCACCCAAGTCATTTCCCCTTCCCAATAATTATTGCAGCAGCTGTAAATTTACTAATACTATATACAGGCTCTATTGATGTATATGTTTAGATTAAATGATAATATGCGTACCATACTCTTGTCATCAGAATATCTTATATCAGGGATAGTAAGCAATAGATTTATCTCTTGTCATCAGAATATCTTATATCAGGGATAGTAAGCAATAGATTTATCTCTTGTCATTAGAATATCTTATATCAGGGATAGTAAACAATAGATTTATCTCTTCTCTTCAGAATATCTAATTTCAGGTATAATAAACAATAGATTTATCTTTTCTCTTCAGAATATCTAATTTCAGGTATAATAAACAATAGATTTATCTTTTCTCTTCAGAATATCTAATATCAGGGATAGTAAACAATAGATTTATCTCTTTCCATGAAAATATCTAATTTCAGGGATATTAAATAATAGATTTATCTCTTGTCGTCAGAATATCTAATATCAGGGAAAGTAAATAATAGATTTATCTCTTGTCGTCAGAATTTCTTATATCAGCGATACTAAACAATAGATTTATCTCTTTCCATGAAAATATCTAATATCAGGGATAGTCAATAATAGATTTATCTCTCGTCGTCAGAATATTTTACATCAGCGATACTAAACAATAGATTTATCTCTTGTCGTCAGAATATCTTATATCAGGGATAATAATCAATAGATTTATCTCTTTCCATGGAAATATCTAATATCAGGGATAGTCAATAATAGATTTATCTCTTGTCATTAGAATATCTTATATCAGTGATAATAATCGATAGCTTTATCTCTTTCCATGGAAATATCTAATTTCAGGGATAGTGAACAATAGATTTTGGAAAAGAAAGCTAATTGTTGCATGAAATCAACCAATCAAAAACCAGTTAATCCTGTATATGTACACTTTATATATAATTTTTAACAGTTATTTTCAGCACCATGACTGATATAGAGCACTTGACTTTACCATGCAATATCAGTTTTCAAACTCACATAAACCAACATTACCAGACTATTCATAATTAACACAGTATCTATACAAAATCAGAAATAATAGAATTTTTTTAAGATTACTATAAAGGTTTGTATGAAATTCAAATAGTGAACAAGGTTTTGACTTATTTACACTGATAGTCATGATAAAGAACAATTTTCATTTCTGATTTATCTATCAATCCTTCCTGTAAACAATCTTTATTTTATTAGAATCACCGTGTTGTTTCTTTTGAAATTTTACTGACAAGATCAGTGTGAATCTTGTTGTTTAAATCACATTTTTGAGATTTATCCCAGTAATTAACAGGTGAGTGATATGGACGGTCACTGTTTTTTACCAGTAATTAACAGGTGAGTGATATGGACGGTCACTGTGTTTTACCAGTAATTAACAGGCGAGTAATACGGATGGTCACTGTATTTTACCAGTAATGAACAGGTAAGTAATACGGACGGTCACTGTATTTTACCAGTAATTAACAGGTGAGTGATACAGACAGTCACTGTATTTTACCAGTAATTAACAGGTGAGTGATCTGGACAGTCACTGTATTTTACCAGTAATTAACAGGTGAGTGATACGAACGGTCAGTGTATTTTACCTGTAATTAACAGGTGAGTGATGCAATGATTACTGTACAAAGTTTTTTAATACTTTCTTTTTTCTTTATATTCAACTATTTCCCCCAAAAAAACCTTACTTAGGGTGTCTTTTCTAGATTAATTTTTTTATTGTTATGTTTTAGGGAGAACCTATCATTCTTTGCAACAGCGGTGATGTGGAAACACAAATGCAAGCCACAAAATATATTGGTGTTCCTAAAACCATTGACTGCCTGCAAGGCATCCTTACCATTATACCAATGCAACTGTTGTCCATGCATATTGCCACTTTAAAGAATTTAGATGTAAGAAATGACATCAGTTGGACTGCATGCAGGTCTTTAGTCCACTCAATTGCTGCTGCTACACATATGCTACTATTTTACCTGCTTTGCTTGCTGCTTATGGCTACAATTGTATATGGTCAAGCATTCATGGTTCAAAATTATTGCTGAATCTTTGATAGATTTTGGCTCTGATGTTACAAAGAATTTATAGATTCAGATGTAACATAAGTATTTTTTTTACTTTTGAACCAGGTTGATGTAATCATTGATGATAATCAATGACACTGAAGTTGATAAGGAATATCCTTGTGTTTAAATGAATTGACCATATATAATTCTTAGACAGGGTTATTTGTAATTACTGACATTATCCGCCTTTGTTTTGTGTTATTTTAATAATAAGCATAGCATAGTACAGATTGGTTTGTACTTTCTGAAATAAACAAGGACTGATTTCAAGTCTATTAATATTTTGATTAACATTATTCAAAAACTATTACTGTAATATAGAAAAAGAAAAATAAGGCTGGAAACTTGATGAAGTAAGATCATGTAACCCTGAATCAGTAGTAGACATCATTAGATTGGGATGCGTGTGGTTGGAAGTCTCCTTACAGTTGTAGTGGGCCGGCATGTGAGAGCATCACAGCCACAGTATTATCTTGGTCTGATGACATGTGCTTGTATCATTGTATGATCCTTCTCGCATGTGTTTCAGTTGTACCAAATAGCTTACCATAAAACACTGAGCAATCTGATTGGTTCTAAGGATGTCCCAATTAGTTTTGGTTGATTCTTATAGGGTGTGGCCTATTTTGATCTTATTATAGGGCCGCCCAATTTTACTTTGTACGCGAGGAGACCTGGATGCTCAAAAGTCTGCATATAAGTACGTGGAACTTCCCCCCACAGTCGACTGCCTGCAGGGCATTCTCACAGTTATACCAATGCAGCTGCTCTCCTTCCATATTGCTGTCCTAAAGGGATACGACGTAAGCCTGTGTTTCTTGTCCTAGTGAACATGTTACAAGTCCTTTTCTATCAGCAAGTAGGAACAGCTGGATGTTGCAATCAAATCGAGGTCTTTTCCCGGGCATTACAGCGATGCTGGCTTTGTTATTTTTACAATACACAAATGAAGTGTGGTCCAATAATCCAGCTATTATACTACTGCTGTAGAGACAGACTTGTAACATGTATCAAAGGTTGGCCCAGATTTCTAGGCTGCAAAATGTTTTCATATTTATGAAGGTAAATGAAAGATCTTAAACAAACATCCTTAACTTGCCAAAGTTTTGCTAGATCAATCTGATATATTCACCATCACATTCTCTTTTGCACTCATTGATTTCTTGGCACAATCTTGTTTCCTTAGTAAAAGCTAGGACCTTCTTCTCTTTTTAGCAAACAGATAATATATCTCTCTGCTAGTTATATCATAAGTGATCAACTTCTCTATTTACATATTTTTGTTAAATTCTGTCGAGTGAGTTTCAGAATTATGTGAACTAGAAATCATGAATACATTGCTTCTGTTTGTAGAACATGTGTTGATTGGGAGACAAAGTTGGAATAGTTTTATAGATTTGTTAAACAAACAGAAATTTTGTCTACAGCTTTGTAGGATTTCATTGTCTGTTGAATATCCTGGGTATCCATCTAAGTATTTTTAGCTCACCTGGTCCAAAGGGCCAACTGAGCTTATGCCGTGGTACGGCATCCGCCATCTGTCATTCTTCCAGGGTCAACTTTTTCTTTGTTCTCAATAACCAATGGACTGACTTTTTTTATATTTGACTGGTATGTTCATAGAATGAAGCCTGACAAATTTGCAAAAAGAAATTACCTTGACTGATCAAGGTCAAGGTCACAGGGGTCAAATTTGTGAAAAACTTGAAACAACTTTTTTAAGCAACCAAAAGACAAAGAAGCGTGCTATTTGGCTGATAGGTTCCTAGGATGATAACTAACATTTTTGAAAAGAAATGACCTTGACCAATATTGAAGGTCACACGGATCAAATTTTTTTTAAACTGTAAAAGATTTTCTTCTGGTAAAACAGAAGTCCCAGAAGCATGTTATTTGGTGGAAATGTGTTTCTAGGTCAAAAATTGGTTAAAATGGATTAAATGTGCCCACATTGAATGCCAATGGTGTATGTGTCAACATGTTTGTAATATGAAAACGGATTCTATTTTTGACGAACATTGAATACCAGGTGAGTGATGCAGGCCCTTTTGGTCTCTTTTTTTGTATATTAATGCTGTTTCTGTGACCAAATCTCTTATTTTTCTAACTTTAGGAGATCAATGGGTTTTCTTGATATCTAACTTCTGTTGTGGCTGAAATGGAAATGATGCAGACTACTTATCATTTGGTTAAAGCTCAGGTCAATGCAATATTTAAACAGTTTTATAAATGATTCAACAGTTGTTCCACGACCAGAGAACAAAAGCTGTAATGCCTAGGTAAAGGGAGAGCATCAACAAAAACTTTTCTAACATTCCAAGAAATTGCTTGTAAGGAGGCTTAGAATGCATGAGGTCAAAGGTCATCATTTCCACTATTAACATCAATATACTCTTCATCAGATTAACAATTTACAATATAAATATATTGAAAAAGATCAGAATATCATGTACTGTAGTCATGACAACAACCAATCTACCCAGTGTACAGTAGTCATGACAACAATTAAGTTCTATACTGTATACAGTTGTCATGACAACAATTAAGTTCTATATTGTATACAGTTGTCATGACAACAATCAATTTCTAAACTGCATAGAGTAGTCATGCAGAAAGTTTTCAAGGTCTAGCTCTGAATAGCTGTGAAAATATATGAAGTCAAGTGTAACTCAATGTTCCTATTTACCTACCTGATGTACCTCAAAGGCCCCTGTCTTCCTGGTGTACAAAGACCAGTGTTCCTTAATGTCCCTGTGCACTTTTGTAACTGAATACCTACTATATTTCAGTGTCCCTGTAAACCTGGTGAAACTCATTGTCCCTGTATACCTTTTGTAACTAAATGTCCTTGTATAGCAGATATAATCCAATGTCCCTATATACCTGGTGTATTTCAATGTCCCTGAATACCTGGTGTATTTCAATGTCCCTGTATACCTGGTATATTTCAATGTCCCTGTTTACCTGGTGTATTTCAGTGTCCCTGTTTACCTTGTATATTTCAATGTCCCTGTATACCTGGTATATTTCAATGTCCCTGTATACCTGGTGTATTTCAATGTCCCAGAATACCTGGTACATTTCAATGTCCCAGTATACCTGGTGTATTTCAATGTCCCTGTATACCTGGTATATTTCAATGTCCCTGTTTACCTGGTGTATTTCAGTGTCCCTGTTTACCTTGTATATTTCAATGTCCCTGTATACCTGGTATATTTCAATGTCCCTGTTTACCTGGTGTATTTCAGTGTCCCTGTATACCTGGTATATTTCAATGTCCCTGTTTACCTGGTGTATTTCAGTGTCCCTGTTTACCTTGTATATTTCAATGTCCCTGTATACCTGGTATATTTCAATGTCCCTGTTTACCTGGTGTATTTCAGTGTCCCTGTTTACCTTGTATATTTCAATGTCCCTGTATACCTGGTATATTTCAATGTCCCTGTTTACCTTGTATATTTCAATGTCCCTGTATACCTGGTGTATTTCAATGTCCCAGAATACCTGGTACATTTCAATGTCCCAGTATACCTGGTGTATTTCTATGTCCCTGTTTATCTAGTGTAACTAAATGTCCCTGTATACCAAGTATATTTCAATGTCCCTGTATACCTGGTATATTTCAATGCCTCTGTATACCTGGTGTATTTCAATGTCCCTGTAACCTGAGATAATTCAATGTCCCTGTATACCTTTTGTAACTAAATGTCCTTGTATAGCAGATAGAATCCAATGTCCCTGTATACCTGGTGTATTTCAATGTCCCTGAATACCTGGTATATTTCATTATCCCTGTATACCTGGTGTATTTGAATGTCCCTGTATACCTGGTGTAACTAAATTTCCCTGTAAACCTTGTGAAACTCCATGTCTCTGTATACCTGGTATATTTCAATGTCCCTGTATACCAAGTATATTTCAATGTCCCTGTATACCTGGTGTATTTCAGTGTCCCTGTATACCTGGTGTATTTCAATGTCCCTGAATACCTGGTATATTTCATTATCCCTGTATACCTGGTGTATTTGAATGTCCCTGTATACCTGGTGTAACTAAATTTCCCTGTAAACCTTGTGAAACTCCATGTCTCTGTATACCTGGTATATTTCAATGTCCCTGTATACCTGGTGTAACTAAATTTCCCTGTAAACCTTGTGAAACTCCATGTCTCTGTATACCTGGTATATTTCAATGTCCCTGTATACCAAGTATATTTCAATGTCCCTGTATACCTGGTGTATTTCAATGTCCCTGTTTACCTGGTGTATTTCAATGTCCCAGTATACCTGGTGTATTTCAATGTCCCTGTATACCTGGTGTATTTCAATGTCCCTGTATACCTGGTGTATTTCAATGTCCCTGTTTACCTGGTATATTTCAATGTCCCTGTTTACCTGGTATATTTCAATGTCCCTGTATACCTGGTATATTTCAATGTCCCTGTTTACCTTGTGTGTAAAGACCATTGTATATCTCTGTATTTATGATGTGTGGAGAGCTAGAGGTTTCTAATACAATAGCATGTGGTTTTGTATAATAGGGGTGATGTAGTTGCTACACTCTTTATCGAATTGTCAAAAATGATATCTTTTTGACAGTTGCTGGTATCCTTGTGCGAGGTTACTTGTATTTAGTAGTAGTCTTGTTTTGTTTTCTCCTAAGATCATATGTGAGGCTATTTTTTAACTAATTCAAAATTCTAGATTAACATGGCTACCTCCTATGTACATCTTCATTAAATTACTCGGTATAATCATATTTATATCTATGTATGTCAGTAATCTAATTGTGTTATTTAATGTTTCTTAACCAATTCATGATTAATTTCAGACAAAGAATTTTCAAAATTTAAATTTTAACTTTTATAAATTTAGGTTTTGACGTAAGTCAGTCTACTGAATTAACTGTCGTTCCTTGTGTATTGCCTGCTGGCTATACACTATAAAACATCTGATACTGATGGTGATCTATAGAGTTTATTGCCTCCGCAGTCTTGTCAAAGTAAATATAACTGAATGCTTCTTGGTCAGGTGTACTAAGGTATATAGAACAAACGAAACTTCTCATCCATGATAAACACTGACATAAAAGGATCTTGTAAACAGGTATTATAAGGTATGATCTAAGGAGAGACTATTCTATAAATTATTCTGTTTAATAGCCCTCATGTGATACAGAGGTGCTCTGAAGTTTTTAACAATTTAGGAGTTTACGTCATTGCTAGCTATGTATACTTTGTTCACATGGAAATTACAGTACTTGACACCCCTGTGTCTGATAAGACAGTTTTGTGGTGACACAGGATAATCTTTGAAGTCTTAAAACAGTTTTTTTATCAGATATATTTTGAAATGTTATAAAAATCATTTTCAAATACAATTGTATGATATTTTAAAAATTAAGACAATTTTTTTTCCTTTCAAGAAATTTGTGAAATTTCCAACACATAGAATCTGATGTAATTTTTTTAATTTGTTGACGTCTATGTCAGATTTAGAGAGATAAAATTTGTTTCTAATTTAACAAGATTTTAAAGATTTTGTTCATGCAATATATTTCTGCTCCTATTTCAAAACAGGTTGACTGTCCTCGTAACCTTGCTAAGAGTGTGACAGTGGAATGATGCTCCTCCCCATGTAAACAGCATCAATGTAAGCATTTTGGATAATATTGAGTGTTGTGGATTCCACCAATGAGGGAGAACAACATATCTGTATCTCTGAATTCTTTTCTAAGAAGTCACATGATTGGATGGTGATTAGTGTGCTTTTGACATCTCACAATTAACTTTGTCACTTTCTCC